CCCCCCGTTTCTTCATCACTGAAAAGACCATTGGCTAAGAGTTATTCATTTTGCAGAGGGTGGAGGTGAGTGGCAGGGACAGTTATCAGAATTCCTTTAGCTCAGAATTCTTCAGAGTTCAAGTATTCATGTAGGCATCCTTCACTTATAAAGGATTATAAAACGTATAAGACAAAAAACCCATGTGTGGTATAGGCTAACAATAGTCAAACTATGCAGAGTGTCCGTGGTAGAAGTCTTGCTTTTCATGTGGGAGACCTGTGTCAGTACTCACCACCCTTCTGTTGATGGAGGCTTGCACGCTGCTGGGATGTTGAACAGGGTTCAGGGGAGCAGCCAGACTAAGACGGACTAGGAGGGAAGGTCTAGCCATCTACCTTCGAATCAGCTCATGAAAACCCGAATGGATCACAACAGTCTGATCCACAACAGGCCCAGGACGCCTTTTGCTACTTTGTGAATGAGGCTGCACGAGGCTGACTTGATGGCAGGCCAGGAAAAGCAACATCCTCAGCTGAAGAGCGTGTAGGAGTCCCTATTCTTAAGCTGTCACCTGTGAACAGGTAGCATCCACAGAAGGAGGGAATGCAGAAGTGACAACGAGTCAGAGATCTTAGCACACCTTTTGCTTTGAAGCTCTTACTGCATCACAAAGCACAGGTTTAAGTAAACCTCAAGTCATGGGTTGACTTTCAATGGAGCAACATAGAACCAGAAAAGACGAATCCCCATGGAGTCCCTGAAGGAGGAAGACTTGCTCCTCACTCATGCAGAGTTTCCTCAAGTGGGGGGAACACTGAGAAACACAGGTTCAAAACGTACCACTGCAGTAGTGGTTCCCATTGTGCATGCCTCTGTCATCTGTGTCCCACCTCCGTTTTGACTCCTTAAATACGCCCAGGTTTGTCCATCTTGAAAAACTCTTGTTTGATCCCGCTGCTCTTCTGCCCTGCAGCTACGGTCTTAACGGACCCTGCATTTTGCCATTAACAGGAGTCTCAAATGAATGATCGATATGGACCATTCTGTTTCTGCCCACTACATGTTCACTATGGCTGGTGTCTTTCCTTATGTCTTAGTTACTGGAAGTAGCCATCCCTCAGTCTGGTGGCCTCTGCAGCATTTGACACTGCTGACCACTTTAAAAGAAAGAAAAATAGCAACCCCCACTCCACTCCCACTGCTAATGTATTGGGAATTCTATCACAGATTCTGTCTCTGAAGGCAGGAAGACCCAGATTAAAATTTTGGCTGGGGTATAAGATAGGAATGGGAAACAAGCCGAGGAGAAAGCTTGTTCTGGACTGATGGTTATGAAGGAACATAGGGGGCAGAGGAG